CATGAACACTAAAAATCAAGCATAAACAATTCAAAACGTTCTTCGAAGGTCGGGACATTAAAACAGTTTGATTGATTAAAATGGGTCATATGCCAAATCATGTAGCGCAAACACATTGCTCTGTACCCGGATTGATTAAAAATGCTAGTCATACAATTTTCATATATGAAAATTTACTTTTTGCTAATCATTTACTTTTAATGCAATTCCATAAGTACGTAAAATTGCATGAAAGGTCTATGATTAGTTATTTTTAAATTTCTAAAGTTTAAATCTAAATTCGCAATAATTTTGGGTGGTTTTTGTAAGCGAACACATTTGACAAAAACCTTGGTTACTCAGAAATAGAGTCACCACATGTTTGACCGTCTTTCAATTTTTCAAAAATTTTAAACTTTAATGAATCATGCATTGACCAAAGCATACAACAGCATGCCATACAAAATAAATAGGCGTGTTAAGTGTTTTTGAAAAATGTTATCCAGAGAAATGGAAAAAAACTCAACTTTTGTGTATCCAGGACTACGTTATACACACAAAAAATTAATTTTTGCATGCAAATTTTTTTTTGAAAAATGTTTGTGTGAGTACCAAAATGGTTTTTAAAAAATTGTTTGCGGCAAATTCAAAACAACTTAGCCATCAGAAAATGCTAGTCATAGATTTTTCATATATGAAAAATGTATGATTCGCATTTTTTGACAAAAAAAATTCTTTTTAATGTATGACGATACAACAACTTATATGCAAAAACAAGAATTTTTATTCAAAAATTCTATGACTCCGTTTTAGCGAACTGTATGAATTTTGTATGAGTAGCATTTTTTCAAATTTTTCATAGACTTAGTTTATGGAATTGTATGATTAGCATTTTCGGTCTTTGGAGGTCAACCCGGGTATTTTCTATTTTCTTCCGCATGAAATTTTGGGAGATATAACGGATCTTGTGTTATGCACTAAGCGGCCCTAAAACTTCATTTGTATATCTTCAGCTGAAATATATGCGGTCGAACCTGATTTGCTAAATTTAGCTCAACAACGCAGTCAGGCATTTTCATTAAAACTTCCTGCGGATGAAAATACTAGCAGAACTTATCAAAAACATGGAACTCTTTCAAAAAATCCAACTAATTTCAATTCACTTGTGAAATTCGTCCAGCCACAACGTTTCAGTTAAATATTGTCGAAAAAAGTTCCATATTTTTGAGGATTTCGGCTAATCAATTTACGTGCTGGAATTTTAATTGAAATATCGACCATGTTTGAGTTTGATTGGCTAAATAGCCAATCAGATTCAACCACATTAATTTCAGTTCAAGATCAAGATGTCGAAATACTAATTTTGGGCCGTTTAGTGCATAAGAACCGACAATATAACCGAAAGTTCATCAGTTAAGAGCGATTGAATACCCATCAAGATCACGGCGCTTATTTCAAAAAAAATGGTCAATAAACGGTTTTTAGCGCATTTTCGAGGACTTAAGCTTTTTAATATAAACTCCTGGCCTATGAATCTAATCTTAGAAAAAAAGAGAGCGGGACCAAGGTAAAATACTCCCCTAAAACGTTTTTTATTGATGGTTATCAACCTGGTTCTTACTTGGAGTTTTCAGAAAATCCGAATCGAATATTTCACACGCTGCCGATATCTTAAGAAGTCAATATCCTTTATTCGGATACAAATTTAGACTAATTTTGTGGGAGTTACGTGTGCAATTTGCAAAGCTGGGTGGAAACCGAGTCAAATAGGAAGTAAAGGATCTCAAGTTGACCTATTAGGAGAGTATTTTGAATTGTGCTTCCGAGTTCATCATTTAACGTGAAATGTTCTGTTTTTCATCATTTAATGTGAAACGTTCCGTTTTCAGATCTGGAGATTGTGCGTTTCAAAGAATCCTGATAAACCAATACAAGATCTACGTGTACATGCCTTTTCAACTTTACCTTTAAAACAGTCATGAGACGAGTTAATTGCTGCATTTGGGATAGACCAGTAGACCAGTTTTCTATTGTTATTTATTGTCACTGTTTTGAATTCAAACTTTCAGTGGTGCATTTGCAGTTTTTTAGCGCTGTTTTTGAAACTTTTCCGAGCTTTTTTTGCTTTCTTAGTGCTATTTTTGCCATTTTCAGTGCTGTTACACTGCTGATTCATCTCTGTAACAGTGTTGTTACAGTGCTGATTTACCTATGTGACAGTGCTGTTTTTATTGCTGATTTTTCTCTTTTTCTCTGATCAAAGATAAATTGACGCTGGCTTAATTTTGTAACAGTACTGATTTTTTTGCTGTAACAATACTGCAACAGTACTGATTTTCTCTGCAAGATCAATCCGGGTAGAGTTTTTAATTGCTGTAAAAGTAACATATTTTGTTCTGACTTCAACCAATCATGGAACAAATTTCTATACGTTGGAAAAAATCATGTTTGAAAAAATTAGCTTCAAACTGGCTTGAATAAACTTAAAATTAATAGAAAATCAGACATCTTCTCTGTGGTGTAATATTTTCCACTCAACTGTATAAATTCATCTCAACACTGAGAAGTATATTCTTGGAATCGGACCTGAGTTTGCTGAAAAAAAACATCTCATGCCAAAATTCCTTCCCACCGTTTGTGGCTGAAACAATATACATAATTTAAAAATAAATTAAAAAAAGAGGAAAGGTCTCAGTCGGTTTTAGACTGTTTGCACGATGTCCGTATGTTATGTTTTCTAAACATGGATTTTGTGCCATGAGAACAAACTCCTCCTATATGAACTATTCCACCTAAAAAGTGTATCGAAAAGCTCAAAAATGATCATCGGGAGAGGAACAGTTAGTTTTATAAGGCTTTGATAATAATACTGCATATCTGACTGATAGTTTTTCAAGTATCGATTGTCATTTTTTGAATTTCGATGCACTTTTTGGGTGAAATAGAACATGAAGACTCTGAGATCTTCCCTCTTTTTTATTCAATTATTTATCTTGTTTCAGGTGGGAAAGAGTTTTAGCTTTATAATTTAGTGAGCTCTATAAAAATTGCTTTAAAAATTTGTGCGCGACTGACTGATTGTGTGTCAAATATTATCCATGTGCCTTGTAATTGTTTGCCAAAATAGAACTTAGAACAAAATCCTGCTTCGAACCTGAGCATGGTACGGCAATAGGGAAGCTACAATGCCTTGTAAAGGCAATCTCCGCATTCTGTAACTTTGATTGATTAAAATGAGTCATATGCCAAATCATGTAGCGCAAACACATTGCTCTGTACCCGGATTGATTAAAAATGCTAGTCATACAATTTTCATATATGAAAATTTACTTTTTGCTAATCATTTACTTTTAATGCAATTCCATAAGTACGTAAAATTGCATGAAAGGTCTATGATTAGTTATTTTTAAATTTCTAAAGTTTAAATCTAAATTCGCAATAATTTTGGGTGGTTTTTGTAAGCGAACACATTTGACAAAAACCTTGGTTACTCAGAAATAGGGTCACCACATGTTTGACCGTCTTTCAATTTTTCAAAAATTTTAAACTTTAATGAATCATGCATTGACCAAAGCATACAACAGCATGCCATACAAAATAAATAGGCGTGTTAAGTGTTTTTGAAAAATGTTATCCAGAGAAATGGAAAAAAACTCAACTTTTGTGTATCCAGGACTACGTTATACACACAAAAAATTAATTTTTGCATGCAAATTTTTTTTTGAAAAATGTTTGTGTGAGTACCAAAATGGTTTTTAAAAAATTGTTTGCGGCAAATTCAAAACAACTTAGCCATCAGAAAATGCTAGTCATAGATTTTTCATATATGAAAAATGTATGATTCGCATTTTTTGACAAAAAAAATTCTTTTTAATGTATGAAGATACAACAACTTATATGCAAAAACAAGAATTTTTATTCAAAAATTCGATGACTCCGTTTTAGCGAACTGTATGAAATTTGTATGAGTAGCATTTTTTCAAATTTTTCATAGACTTAGTTTATGGAATTGTATGATTAGCATTTTCGGTCTTTGGAGGTCAACCCGGGTATTTTCTATTTTCTTCCGCATGAAATTTTGGGAGATATAACGGATCTTGTGTTATGCACTAAACGGCCCTAAAACTTCATTTGTATATCTTCAGCTGAAATATATGCGGTCGAACCTGATTTGCTAAATTTAGCTCAACAACGCAGTCAGGCATTTTCAACAAAACTTCCTGCGGATGAAAATACTAGCAGAACTTATCAAAAACATGGAACTCTTTCAAAAAATCCAACTAATTTCAATTCACTTGTGAAATTCGTCCAGCCACAACGTTTCAGTTAAATATTGTCGAAAAAAGTTCCATATTTTTGAGGATTTCGGCTAATCAATTTACGGGCTGGAATTTTAATTGAAATATCGACCATGTTTGAGTTTGATTGGCTAAATAGCCAATCAGATTCAACCACATTAATTTCAGTTCAAGATCAAGATGTCGAAATACTAATTTTGGGCCGTTTAGTGCATAAGAACCGACAATATAACCGAATGTTCCTCAGTTAAGAGCGATTGAATACCCATCAAGATCACGGCGCTTATTTTAAAAAAAATGGTCAATAAACGGTTTTAGCGCATTTTCGAGGACTTAAGCTTTTTAATATAAACTCCTGGCCTATGAATCTAATCTTAGAAAAAAAGAGAGCGGGACCAAGGTAAAATACTCCCCTAAAACGTTTTTTATTGATGGTTATCAACCTGGTTCTTTTTTGGAGTTTTCAGAAAATCCGAATCGAATATTTCACACGCTGCCGATATCTTAAGAAGTCAATATCCTTTATTCGGATACAGATATAGACTAATTTTGTGGGAGTTTACGTGTGCAAATTGCAAAGCTGTGCGGAAACCGAGTCAAATAGTAAGTAAAGGATCTCAAGTTGACCTATTAGGAGAGTATCTTGAATTGTGCATCCGAGTTCATCATTTAACGTGAAATGTTCTGTTTTTCATCATTTAATGTGAAATGTTCCGTTTTCAGATCTGGAGATTGTGCGTTTCAAAGAATCCTGATAAACCAATACGAGATCTACGTGTACATGCCTCTTCAACTTTACCTTTAAAACAGTCATGAGACGAGTTAATTGCTGAATTTGGGATGCTTCATGGCAGAAGGACCGAAAGCCCTCAATTGCATATCCTTATTCAGTTTTTGAAATCCAGCACTTTTCAAATATATTTTACGATACCCGGATTGGTCTGCCAGTAATAATCAGTACTGTTTCACAGTAAAACCAGTGATATGTTTTTTTCCAGTACTGTTCCAGGAAGAAAAAAAAACAATGAAACAAAAAGAATCAACTTTGTTGCAGTACTGTTGTTTTTGTTTCTCTGTTTTTGTCCAAAAATTTGTTAAGTGCCGTTACAATCAAAAAAAATTGAAGTGACCTTGTAGTTTAAAAACTATATTATAAATTAGCTGTAAACTACCTAAAAACGCAGTTTACGCTTAAGAGAAGTGGTCAAAAGTTTGATCCGATTGACGCCCAAAGCTTTGTATCGGGACCATAAAATAATATAAGCGCCGCATCGCAAAGTTTACAGGAAAATTTTGGCTCTCGGGTTTTTGTGAAACTTTTGAGCAAGTTTGATGCAAAGAGAATCAAAACTATTGTGGGCAACCACGTGGAGTTACTGAAAGAAGGTTAAAAGGCAACAACTGTCGATACTTTGACACAGGAAAGGAGGCTGATTACAAAGCCGAACCCGAAACCTGAACGTCTTTATCAATTTGAGTAAAATACCAAAACTGACTCTAAACCTGAACTTTTAGACCAGTTTTCTATTGTTATTTGTTGTCACTGTTTTAAATTCAAATTTTTAGTGCTGCATTTGCAGTTTTTAAGCGCTGTTTTTGAAATTTTTCTGAGCTTTTTTGCTTTCTTAGTGCTATTTTTGCTATTTTCAGTGCTGTTACACTGCTGATTCATCTCTGTAACAGTGTTGTTACAGTGCTGATTTATCTATGTGACAGTGCTGTTTTTATTGCTGATTTTTCCCTTTTTCTCTGATCAAAGATAAATTGACGCTGGCGCAATTTTGTAACAGTACTGTTTTTTTTGCTGTAACAATACTGCAACAGTACTGATTTTCTCTGCAAGATCAATCCGGGTAGAGTTTTCAATTGCTGTGAAAATAGCATACAATGTTCTGACTTAACCAATCATAGAACAAATTTCTTTACGTTGGAAAAAATCATGTTTGAAAAAATTAGCTTCAAAATGGCTTGAATAAACTTAAAATTAATAGAAAATTAGACACCTTCTCTGTGGTGTAATATATTTCACTCAACTGTATAAATTCATCTCAACACTGAGAAATTTATTCTCGGAATCGGACCTGATTTTGCTGAAAAAAACATCTCATGCCAAAATTCCTTCCCACCGTTTGTGGCTGAAACAATATAAATAATTATATTGAAAATAGAGGAAAGGTTTTAGACCGTTTGCTGTAAATCTCAGTCGGCTTTAGACCGTTTGCACGATGTCCGTCTGTTATGTTTTCTAAACATGGATCTTGTGCCATGAGAACAACCTCCTCATACATAACTATTTCACCTAAAAAGTGTATCGAAAAGCTCAAAAATGATCATCGGGAGAGTTTATAAGGCTTTTAGTTTTCTAAGGCTTTGATAATACTGCATATCTGACTGATAGTTTTTCAAGTATCGATTGTCACTTTTTGAACTTCGATGCACTTTTTGGGTGAAATAGAACATGAAGGAGGAGGCTGTTCTCATGACTCTGAGATCTTCCCTCTTTTTTATTCAATTATTTATATTGTTTCAGGTGGAAAAGAGTTTTAGCTTTATAATGTAGTGAGCTTTATAAATATTGCTTTAAAAATTTGTGCGCGACTGACTGATTGTGTGTCAAATATTATCCATGTTTATAGTGTGCCTTGTAATTGTTTGCCAAAATAGAACTTAGAGCAAAATCCTGCTTCGAACCTGAGCATGGTACGGCAATAGGGAAGCTACAATGCCTTGTAAAGGCAATCTCCGCATTTTTTTAGTTTTCATGGCAGCTCGAAGAACTGCTTTCAATCTCCATCTGAAAAGCAGACTGTCGTACAAATCTAAGAATAAACAAAATTGCTCTATCAGTTTTTTTCCAAGAGCAACTAATAAAAGAATGAAAATGAAAAATAAACAAAACTGCTCGTATCAGGGTGAAGCCCTGAATGTTCCGACTGCCTTTCAAGGTTTATGGAGCAGCAATAACATTAAAAAATTAAATGAAATAAAACAAAATAAAAAAAACTTTTTTTCTAAAATTTGAAATTTTTGATGAAAGTCATCTACCACACGCCATAAAATGTACAAAAGGATGTATTTCGCTCCTTATAACAAATCAATTATGGCAAATAAGCTTCCTTTAACCAATTTGGAACGATTTCTAAGACGGATTAGATCTCCGCTGACGCGTTAAGAGCGCTAATTATATCGCGCGTTAATTGTCCCAAATTGAGCAGATTGGCAATCTTTAAACCCCCATAACTTTGCGAAAAATGGTCACAGGTGAAATATCTTTCCAAATTAAAGGTCAAAAACTCAATACTTTTCGAATTATATAAGAAAATTCCGTCAAAAATGGCCAGTTAAAAGGTCTAAATTTGTCTGAAGAAAAAAAAAACCCACCCGAGCACAAATATTCCGTTACTTTTTTGTACGAAAGTCGGAACAATTACTTTTGTTACGAAAGTCGGAACAAAAACATCTTTTTCATTTTTGTCATTTTACATTTTTCCAAAAATGCTTTTAAATTTTTGACAAAAACACTTTGTTGAAAAGTCAAAATTTGATATAAAAACGATAAAGAAATTACATATAAATGATAAACTGATGGCCTCAACCTCATCAAACTGATCCCAAAGTTTCTGACACCAGATTGCAAGAAGATCTGGGCGAATTTTCAATTATTAAGAGAGGAAATAAACAACCTTTGTTGGCCGTTTTGAGAGTCACCAGTACAAATTTCACATCAGCAGCCCTATTACGAGTTTTTACTGATGTTTCGATCTTAAACATACGCGCAATGCCATCTGAGCCCAGAACAAACTGAAAAAAAGTGTTGCATTTAGAGCTTCTAACGCTGTTTCTAGCTTAACAGACGCACGATGCCATCCGAGTCGACAAAAGTTTTAGGAAGCTGTACTATTTCCTACTGCTGCTCTATGCTGATAAAAGCGTGACACGCCATCCGAGTCGGTAAAAACTTGCGCCACTTTTCTTCTGATAGTTTCTTCTGAGCTTACACTGTACCTGTTTTTTCTGTTTTGAGCTTACTCACGTGCTCGATGCTACTCGGTAAAACTGAAGTCGATAAAAAGTTTTAAAAGCTGTTCAATTTAGAATTTCTTCTGCTGTTTTAAAATACACATGCGCGCGATGCCACCCGAATCGATCAATAAATTACGAATCGATCAGAACTCAATTCGGGAACTTTCAATTTTTCCGTTTTTCAACGGAAAATTTTTCTGTGAGAACCTATTCGTCTTAGAGCAGATAATAAGATGTGAGGGAAAACATGAAAGTAAAAACTCAAAAGAGATATCAATTATCAGGAATAAACATGTCTACACTTTTGCAAAATATGGCATTCACTTCCTGTTTTGTTTGCGTACATTGAAAAAATCATACTAGTCAACGGCGAGAACGTAAAAAAATTAGCAACCCCCATTTGAAACGTAAAATGAAACGAAATTTAAAAGCAAAAAAATCAAAGCAAGACAATTTCTGTAGAATGCCAAACGGTTTTTTGACATATTCATTTAAGTGACAAGTTATCTGCTGCCTTTCTTCTCCCTTATACAGTTAGCATACCTTAACTTAGTATGTAGTTGAAATAACGCCTCATTTTAATTTGGATAGACTACAGTATTTATAACACTGGATCAAATTAAGTTTTCAAAATTTTGATAAAAACACTTAATTGAAAAGTTGCAATTTGATATAGAAACGATATCGAATTATATATGAAAAAGAAGCTGATAGCTGATGATCTTGACATCCTCAGAGTGACCCCTAAAATATTCATCACCAGATAGCAAGAATATCTGGGCGAATTTTCATGCATCAACAAAAAAAATAACCAACATTTGTTGGCCGTTTTGAAAGTTACTAATGTAAATTTTGCATAAGCAGCACTATTTCGAGTTTTTAGGGATGTTTCAATCTTACTTTTGCATTCAACTCCATTCCATTTGGTGAAAAAAGTTGTTCTATCAGAAATTGGTACAGCAGTTTCGACTTACACACTGCGAGACGCACTCCGTCTCAGTAATAGTAATAAGAAACCACCTGAATTATCTACTGCTTTTTTGAGCTTACGCATGCGTGCGCTCGCTGCCATTTTATTCAATGAATTTTTGAGAAGCCGTTCTTTCAAGAAATTTTTTTGCTGCTTCGAGCTTACACATACGCGCAATTCTGTCTGCGAAAAATCTGAAAAAGAAAAAAAATGAAAAAAGTGTTACACTTAGAGTTTCTACTGCTTTTTCTAGCGTAACAAGCGCGCGTTGTCAGTTAAAATAAAGAGAAGCTGTTCTATTTAGAGTTCCTACTGCTGCTCTAAGCGTACAAAATCGTGATACGCCATGCCAATTGGTAAAAAAAAATGAGCTTTTTTTTTGATAGTTTCGAATGATGTTGTGAGCTTACACACGCGCTCGATGCTACCCCGTAAAAATGAAATACAAAAAAATAAAAAGGTGTGCAGTTTAGAGTTTCTATTGCTGTTTTCAAATGCGCGCGCTGCCACTATACTTGATAACAAAATTACGAACTGATGAGAACTTAAGTCGGGAATTTATATTTCTCCCGTTTTTGAAGGAATAATTTTCTGTGAGGATGTATCTATACTAGAGCAGATGATTTAGATGTAAAGAAAACTTGATAATCATAACTCAAAACGGCTATCAAAAATCAGGAAAAAAATACGTCGAAATTTTTGCAAAATATGGCACGCACTTCCTGTTCCTTGCATAATTTAATAAAACCATGCAATTCAACGTCGAAAACGCAAAAGAAAAACGTAAAACAAGACAAAAGTAAAAAGAAAAAGTGATCAAGGCAAAACAATTTCTGTAGCATGTAAAAGTTATCTGCAGCCTTTTATTATCTATGAAATAACTGAAAAACTTAGTTTTTATTTATTTCAGAAGTTGAGTTTCTAACTGACTGTTGTAAATTTATTATGACAATTTCAGTATTTAAAATCACTGGATGAAAAAA